TGAACTACCCCCAAATTCTTAAAAATTACATCAAATTTCTTTTTAAGGCCAATTTTTTCCTTTTTTTTTTCTTTCTTTTTTTTTTTTTCTTTTTTTTGTGTCCAACAGGTCAGATAAAGAAGCAATCCCTTTTCAAAGAATGTAAGATTTCTCAAGTTCATTGTGTGCACTGTAGGCGTGGACTTTTAGAGAAGAGGCCCTGTTAAGTATACTCTTTTCCCCAGGGAACCACTATGATTCACTGAATACCACTGGCAAAGACTTCACACCAGGGTCTCCACAGTCATCAGTGATTCTTTCCTTTAAATTGGAAACAGCAGTGAAAACTCATTTTCAATGAGTGCCAATAAAATCCTTTTTTGGTAAGGTAACAGACAGAGCAGACTCCTCGTGGCAGGCTTGGTGCCTTGTTTGTCACCTTTAGTTCAGTGGAGTTTGTCCTCTTTGTTGAAACTGCACAGAGAGGCTGCTTCAAAAAACTGGGAATCCGACAATTTTGCAGTTTGTGTTTCCTAACTACTCATCTCTAAGGCAGCAAGGAAACTTGATCTCATTTTTTGGAAAGGGCAGGAGTGCTCTAAAGTGAGAAGAAAAGTTACCAGGTACTGTAATTCTTTAAGACGTGCTGTGATTGTGCACATTCACCTTGAAGGTGCTTTGCACTCAAGCACTTTAGAAGACAAACACTGCAAGAAGTGAATGTGTGCATGTACAAGATAACTTGACTTGGCTATTCTAGTAGGCTGTACTGCAACAGACAAAATAAAACATCCATACAAAGGCAGACTACAAGTCCATTAGCACTCACCTTGTTTCTGACAGTGGTCAACAGCATATAGCTCATAGACAAGCTAAGAACTGGAAAATTTCATTGTGATGCTTCTCCAGAACAGTCATTTGAAAAGGCTTAGAAATAGTCTGCTATTTTTTTGACTTTAATATTTAATATGCCCCAATAGATTTCTTTTCCATCTATTTGTCTACTTGCCTTTTCAAGCTACACTTTTTTTGCCTCCACAAAATCTTGTGACAATACTGTCCATTACATACTGTGAAAGAAATCACCACCACCACTTTTTTCTTTGAATCTATTATTTGCTAATTTCATTTGATGATCCTACTTCTTTTAGTGGGCAAGACTGGAACAATCATTCCTTTTTCTCCTTCCCCCTTACACTCCTTGTCTATATCTTTCCCTATTTAATGGTTTCTGCCTGAAAAGAACTATGAATGCTAAGTTTTGTGCTCACGATATAACCAATCTCGAGGACTCTCTGACAGACCTGATTCTGTAGGGATAAAATAAGGGTTTATTTATGATGTTTAGCATAAGCAGGGATGTCTTAGCTCTAGAAACATGAGATTCTAGAAAGAAGAAAAGGAGGTCAAGTCCCATGTTTAAGTAAAGCTCAGAAGTTTCTTTTGGAAGAAACTCATGACAGATCCACAGGAATAATGTGTCCAGAAGGAAGTGATATGAACAGGATCAATCAGCCAGTTACTGAAACAGCAACAACAACAACAAAAATCCAACTATTTAAATAGCACCAAATAACCCATATGGGTTCAAACAGTAAGCCCAGGATTATCATGAGCAGCAAATGTAGGACAGACTGAGAAAAAAAGTCCTTGGCAGTTTGATCAAGTAAACCTTAACAAAAATAAGTCAGCAGCCAGATTACTTTAGTTTCCAGAAAATAATCCAAAACGACTGGAACTGTTATATTAGTACAAGGTACAGCCCTGAGAGAATGCAAGCTGAGATTCCAGGCTGTTCTATAAACTCATCTATAAGCTGATGATCTCCTTCACAGCTCAAGAAGAGGAATGGTCTCTCACTGCCAGCCGTTCAAATCCATCCATACAGAGACTCCACAGACACAGCACTGAAATTCCTTCTAGCAAACAGATGTCCTGATACCAAAACCTCCTCATGGAAAAAGTATCACAGATATGTATGGTGGCCTTCAAGGCCTCAGAATGAGGAGTCTATCCAACAAAACATGTTTGTCCAAGAGAACATCTGGTCTTGTGAATACAAACTCCAGTATGTCTCACTGGCATCAAAGTCCAAGTGGTCTACACCTAGTATCAGAGCATGATCTTCCACTGATGGCACTCACACCACCCATAAGGCTGTTGTAAAGGCTAAGATGAACAACCTAAATATGAGCTTAATACATCATGTACCGAGAACCAGTCAGCTACTTCTGGAAGGGAGGGCATCTCATATCCTTCTCTTAATATGTATGTTGTGATGTGCTCCTAGCCTGAACACAGTATAAAAGGCTTGCATGAACATTGTATGAACCTCTCCGTTGTGGCCTCTAGTGTGCACCCTAATCCATTCAAAACCAACAAGCCCCATTCTCTGTCATGGAAAAGACTCTGTAACTTACAAGTGATGCCAACACCACTGAGTAGGAGAGGAGAGGAGAGGACGCCTTGGTTACATTATGCTGTCTCACCACCAAAGCAGATGCTGAATGATTGTTGGGGGTGCTGTACTGGCAATTTTCTTTTCTTATGGTAAACAAAGGCACTTTTGATGAAACTCATTGGTGAGCGCAGGGATATAAGTGTCATAAAAGCAGACAGAGACAAACTAATATCCACTTGAAGAGAATTTATATAATTGTACTCCCCTCACGTGCAACTATTATAAATTCAGAATGCTTTGCCATTCTTCTTTTGTTTCTCTTGTACCAGAAAACACTTTTCACAAAATGCATTCTCTCTGAGCCGTGGGGAAAACAGTTTTATGCCTCCCTCTTGAATTACTTAACTGAAACACTCTTTGAGAGAGGTTTTTGAAAAGAGACAGACATGGAAGTAGCAGACCTGCAAAGAGACAAAATACATGCTACATTCAGTTCACAGTATCCAGCAGGCACAAATACATATGTGGACTCCAGGCTGATGAGTATAAGGAAGTAGGAAAAATAACAAGCTGGAATTGCAGGATTTATTCCTGATTCTCTATTGTATTGCTGCACATGCTCTCAACATAACAGCAGCTGTGCTCAGAGCTAGGATCAGCAGATGCCCAAGGCAAAGTAATACTGCCATTTCCTTTGAAGGTCTGGCTGCCCTAACATATCTCGAGGCTGAACAGGAGTTCAAAAATGAAGTGTTTGGCTGGAGGTAAAGGACCAGTCTTGATATCTCTGGATTTTTCATTTGTTGGAAGCAAAAGAAAAATTTTTCAAGGACAAACGATGCATGACTTCACTGCTCCTAAAGCTGACAAAACTCATCCCTTCAAAAGGATGGTCTTAGATTGCAACGTGCATTTCTCTGAATATTTAAAAAATCATAGAGGAAAGATGTCTGATATACTTCCACTAAGCCATCATAGTTACAGATGTGGTGTTGGCTACGTTTAACATACAATGCAAAGAAGTTCAGAAGACGTGGGCTACAACTGAGTACAACTTGTTATCCCAAAATCAGTGGGCGGGAGACTAGCAAAACTGACAAAAAAAATAACTTACTTTCATAATAAGCCAGCACTAACTGGTAAATTGCCAGACAAAGATATAAGAATGTTGTTTCTGTTAATGATACTCTGAAGACAATCACCTTTCCTGAGCTATCATCCAAACCTCTGTACAGTTTTCAGTGGTGGCTGTGACAACCTGAATGAAGAAACTAGAGAGAAAAACCAGATGAGATGAGAATTCCACAAGGATGCATATCCTACAGCTACTCGATCCTGCACATGAAACCCAGTGGAATAAAGGACAACTTGGATCCCCTGGGAGGAAGCAAGGAATGGAATCAGTTATCTACTGAAGCTAAATCTTGTAGGGAAATAGCACCTTAGTTCTGGAACAGAGCTGAAGGCTATAGCCAACACCAAACATGGCAGAGTAGGCTATGAGAAGACAGACCCAAGGTCTTGAAGCCCACAGCAGCTGAGGATGTGCAGAAGTTTGAAATAAAAAGCATCTGTAACTGAATTTTCACTAATGATGAGCCAACAACGTGACACACCGGTAGAAACAGTAAAAAACTTTATCTTAAACATCCCTAAAAAATTGATAAGTACAGAAGTGACTTGATCTGGTAGTAACTTCACAAGATTCTACAGAACTCTTGGTCACTGGTGATATATGATGGTGGAACAGGCATCAGACAAGTGCTGCAGAAATTCTTGAAGAACAGAGCTGAAAAATGCAGAGAAAGTGAATTAGATCATGACTGTCTAGGAACTGAAACATAAGCCAATGAATTAAGAAGAGGAACGCTACATCAGAGAACTGGATTTTGAACAAATGAAATATTTGATCTTTGTCATATGTGTGAACGAAAGAGAAATAGTAAAATGCATGTTCTGTCCTATGAGTTTATGCCTGGAGCAAGTGATAGTTAAACTAATGGGGTATGAACCTAATTGTTTCATCCTCTCACAATTTATCTGGTCTTGAATGACAAGAAGTATGCACAACCCAAGAGTGAACATGAACACAAACACTCTTTTCAAGAGAAAACACTTTTGCCCTCTGACACTATTTCTGTCAGCCGTTTGGATTGATCATTATCTAATTTGCCAGCACATTAGAATGATCTCTTAACACTGATTATACAGGGTAGATGTGACAGGGAGGCTGTGGAATAAGAAAACAGATCAAACAGGCTGTTAGAATCCAATCCCTGAGGGCTCCAACACAAGCAATAGGAAACACTGTACTCTTTGAGAATTGCAATCATACCGAGTGCTGTTTGACAAGGGAGAAGTTGGAAAATACCACGAAAATAGTTTTCCTTTAACCTGGCACCAACAAAGAGCCAGAGCTGAAGCTGCTTCCTGTTCATTTTAAGGATGGGTGGATCTTCTCTCCAATACATTTTCCAGCTGCTGAAGTTGTTTGCTAACACAAGCAAATTAATTTTCATAACATTAAGCAAATTCTAACTGGAGTGCTTCACTAAGCCACTATTGCAACTGATAAAAGCCACCTGGACCTTAGGGTTCAACCTTGGGTCTAAAAACATCAGCCAATTAAAAAAGTTTATATAGCCTAAACAAACAGAAATCAAAATACAAAAATAAGCCACACAGAACATAAGCACCCAACAGTGAAACATAAAGACAAATTTTAAATCCTGTCCAATATAGCAAAAGCAAATATTTTGAGGGTGTGAATTAATAACCGAAATTATAACCAAAACAAACAAATGAAATGACTTTATTCAAATGGAGCATTTCCATGGCTCTGTGCCAAAATTCAAGTCGGCGACTAACAAGGATGTCTCTGCTCATATGGTCTAATATTTTTCTCTGCTGTTGGTTGCCGTGTGATGACAGCAGAGAATATTGGCTGTTACTGGACTAGGACAGACTGAAATGGCTGAGCAAAGAAGTTTGAGACTTTATGTTCAAACTTGGACCTTGGGAAGAACGATACAGACAGTTGGAGGACCTCTGTCTTATAGAAAGATCTCACAGTTAGTGATCGGGAAAAGATTGGAGGATAGACCCCAAGGCTCAGCACAAGAAGCTCTCACAGACAGTCATTCACCTCAGCCTACAGCTGTATCACCAGCTTCTGCAGATGTTCAGGTACTCTCCTCAGTGGATTGTCCTCTCAGCAGGGACCTGTTCACCGTCCCCTGGGTGTTACAGGTGTGTGGTGGTCCGAAGTCACTGCTGCTTTTTCCTCTGCCCCATACTTGAAGCAACACCCTGGATTCCTCACCTGATGTTCAGTGTTAGTCCTTCTCTGCAAGCAGAGGCTGAAAAAAAACAACACAAAGCAAAGCTTTTGAGTAATCACAGGACTGTTTTATTTAAAACGCTGCTGAACTGCCCTGCAAATCTCAGCCACCACCAGAAATCTGGATCTCCCTACCATATACCCTTTCTCTGCGCTACAAGATGAGATCACAGTATGACAAACCTAACTTAATGAGCTACTATCTGAAAAAGTGTTCTTGGTATTCCTCTCAAAACTCTCAATCTGCACTTCCCTAAGCCAGCTCATCTCTTCACATGCTCCTCCATACCCAGTTTGTGACTCAGTCTTATCCAGAAAGGGGAGATAATACTTTTTGCCCCCATGTGACTGAGTCACATAACTCTAAACCCTCTCCCATATCAGCATGCTTTGCCTTTTTCTTTCTGCATCTTTTATTCATTTGCTTGCAGGGAAATCTACTCCCCCACTCCAAAAGATGCTGAGTACCTTGGTGCAGAAGAGGTGGGGATGTGAAAAAGTTGATTTTTAAAAGAAACAAGATGGGGATAAGAAAGATTTTCTTCTCATTATTAGAGAGACATATTGCATATAGAGATATAAAGAGAGACATACTGCAATATTTTCCTTCTTAGGAAAGTTATGGGAAAAAGTCAATGTCACTGTCACTTCTTTTATGTCAAAAAGCTTAGATATTCCCTTAAGAGAAAAATTCGAAACACTTAGAAATGTAAAAAGTTTATTTTGGACAGTTTGCATTGTCCTGTGTATTTAGCCCATCAGCTTGCTCCTAAATACGACTGACACTTGTTGAGAGCTGAGTTTATTAAAAATATTTCTGTATTTTTAAAAATACACTCTCCTTGAAATCCCAGCATAGAGCCAAACACCACACAGTACAGAGGATCTGGAAAGATGTTTAGAAAGCAGTATTGCCAGCAATGGCCCTGCACAGAAAGTTTGGAACCTGAATTAGGCACCAAACTGTCAACCATGTGTATGAAGATAGGATACCAGAGCAGAACACTGTCCCTTGGCAATATGCTGATATTAAGAAAACAAAGGCACATGAGAGAAGCAGACAACTTCAACCTCATCTTCCTGAAGTGTTTTTTTTGAGCCTTCCTTGTCTTATAGAAATGCATAATACAGTTTGTCTTTTCTCACAAACTGAATTAAAATCACCTAATGTGAGTTCATCCTGTGTGGCTACCTTCAGGACTCAGCACAGAGGGGCATTCCCACGTCTACATGTAAATAGGTGCATTCTGACCATGAGTCCAACTCATGGCCATTGCTATGATTTAATTATTTCAGAAATCTTAATGTAAATGACCCTATGAAGTTTTCTCATTTCAGAGCTACTTGTGAGCACTCTACCTCCTTTTAAGTTCTGGTTGAGTAGGGGGAACAAAAACCTCAGATGATTACTGACAGCAGCCAACATGAAGTGTTGATTCCCTCTTGCGATGAGTGTCATTGCAGTGAATCACCGCGTAAAACAGAATGAATTTCCTTTATCCCTTGCCTGCCAGGAGGTGTTAAAACAAAGTATCTGCCTGTGTGTCTGTCCACATGTTTACATACTATTATGTCATCCATGACTACACCTCAAAAACATTAACACTTTGGTACTTTGAACAGTCACATGGGGGCAAAAAGTATTATCTCCGCTTTCTGAATAAGACTGAGTCACAAAGAAATCACAAGTTGTTTAAATGTGATGATATGTGTATGCTACAATCCAGTGCTATACAGACTTTCTCAGCAGAGGTTTACAGAGTTCTGGTCAGATATCAGCACCTCATCTACTCTGCTTCCAAATTGCAGGAATGAGAGCAGAATACTGGGTTAGTCTGACAGCACTGGGTCAGGGACCCGCGCTAAGATTTATTAGTGCTAGTTTGAACTGTTCCATCATACCCATAGCAAGTCTATAGCAGAACTGAGAAGCATGTCCAAATCTCTTGAATCCAGCGTTGAAAACAGGAACTTCCTCTCTTCCTGAAAAGCTCTGATAATCCTAGAAACTCAGATCTTTTATCCCAGAGCAGAGGGAATTTCTAATCCCAGAGTGATGCCCAGCATTCTCTCGATAATATATAGTACAACTAAGAAAGGCAATAAATAGATGGGGTTTATTTATATCCTTGGGTGACTGACACTAGCAAGCCAGGACAGCTGACAACTGAAGACCAGCCTTCCCTCCCCCTTTTACTTATGGGCACAATTTCAAGTTGGCTTGCTGGACTGGGCAGACAAAGGAAAGCAGCAGTTCCCAGTCACAAAAAAGTACTGGGGGGACACACACCAACAGCACACACACAGCTGCATTCATTAGAGTGAAGTCTCTCTGCATTAAAAGAGCAGTGAGCAGCCTCATTAACAAATGGACACGTGGTGGGGGAAGCCAGCATGAGGCTCCCTCCTCCTCGTGCTACAGAGAAGAGGCTGGGTGGGCTCCTCACCCCGACTGCTAAGGGCCTTCTGCATTTGACAGGCCTCATTCTGCTTTCTCTTACTCTGTTTCCTACTCCCTGGTTTGTTGTGGCTCTCTGTTCTCTGGCTCTTCCACACATTTCATTTCATAACTTCAGACACTGCTTTTACTCTATTCACACACAGTTTGGCTTCTATTTTTAGTCTCAATAAAGTAATGCCAGATTAAAACAAAATCCAATTTGGATGGGCAAAGTCATCCTCTCTATAGGTAGCTTAATGCCAAAGGGCCAGATGTGAGACAGGCGTAGCCAAGATATTATATAACCTTTCCCCAGCCTTTGCACACCTGATCTTGAATGACATTTCCAACCCAGCAAGGAAATACAGGCAGTTCGCCATCACCTCACTACTGAGAACAAGCAAAGCTCAGCCTCCAGTCAGGCAAAAATGCCAGCTGCCTGAAGTCATTACTTATCCTGCTTCAGAGTTTTCTCGGAGTCTGTCAGAAGTGAAAGCTCCTAAAATTCAAGCTGAGCTCTAGTTCTCAAAAAGGGAAGCCAATTTCTAGAGGCTCTCCTTTCCTTTTTCTCCTGCTTTCCCAGTGTTCCTGAAACTTGGAATGCCCTTTCCATGAGGCTGTGGCATGAGACCAGGAGCAACAGGAAAAAGACTTTCATAAAAGGCTTTCTTTCATAAAAGAATGGCAAAAGGTTGACTAAAGGTGTGAGAGGTGGGCTGTTGTCACAAGTTAAGCACTAAATGTAATTTCTGATCATCAGAAGCGAACACAGACCCTCAGCTCTAGCTGAGAGGCAATTGCTGAGTTGGCAAGATCTTGTTAACATCTGAGAAGGGCTGAAAATGCTGCTTTCAGCAGGGCTTTATACTCTGCTGAGATTCAATGAGACTGCCACAGTTTTCTGATATAAAACATAGTCAGGCCCTGTTTCAAATTTTAGGTGTGCACCTTTATGGTGCATCTATTCTGCAGGTACACGTTAGACATACCAATATATGCTTAGTGCAAGCCATAAGGGAATGGCTCCCTGCTTCTTCAAAGAATACCAAGAAATAGCTTAAGGAGAAGGTCTTTCTTCACCTCTCTCCTTTCCCTTTTGGTACATCTGGTAAATACAGGCTTATCTGTCATTACCTGATATGGGATAACTGCAACAACTATGCCAGGGAGAAAAATGATCTTTTCCCCCATTCCATCTTTTTATCCCATCTTCTTTTTTTTGTGTCTCCCTTTTGGGAGACAATAGGATTCACCTCATCTTTCTTTTCTCTTTTGCTCAAAGAAGCTGTGGATGCCCCATGCCTGGAGGTGTTCAAGGCCGTGATGATGGGGCTTTAAGCAACCTGATCTAGTGGGAGGTGTCCCTGCCCATGGCAGGGGTGTTGGGATTAGATGGTCTTTAAGGTCCCTTCCAAACCATTCTATGATTCTATGTTATTTTACCTCAAGCTCCACTGCTTTTCAAAACGTGATACAACAAACTGATTATGTTTCTCAGTAAGCCTTTCTCTGAGTGGAGATGGGACTACAGAGAGGACAGAGAAAGGTGCTGACAGAATGTTATTGCTGCTGTTGCCAATGGCTGTATAAGGGGTGAAAAGCAGCACTGGAAGATCGATGCAAGGTGCTGGATATCAGACCAATGATCCCTTTCAGTAACCCACTGAGAGCTCCTCAGCCAGACAGGTGGTTCTGGAAGGATTTATGTGGAAAAGTTTGTTATTCTATTCCGGGATGAGGATAAGCAATGAGATGACAGCCACCAAAAGTTGCTCTTTTGTGTCACAAGATATCTTTTGCCTAAGTAGCCAAAGTAGTCTGAGGTAGAGGTTATTCGAGGTGTCCATTTGAAGGTCACCTTTCAAAGTCAAGACCACTTGTGCAGTCAGTCACAGCAACAAGAGAGAACCAGGAGAGTGGCAAACGAAGACTGGAATTAACAGGATTAGTGGGAGGGTGGAGGCGTACCAGCAATGCTCTGTGCAGAAACCCGAGCGACTTCTCCCAGCTGCTCCTGATGAAGGATTTGGACAGTGTGGTGAGACCAGCTGAAATCGTAGCCAAGGTTCCTCTCGGGAATGTGGTATCAACATAAAAATAAATACATTGGTGCTCAACAATCTATTGCCTCCCCATGCTACAGGGGAGCCTGGCAGAATCTGAGGAAGCCTGGACAAGACTGGGCAGCTGGGAATTCCACCCTACTGCAGCAAATGGCTGGGTGTCTGACACAGGCCATGCACGGTGGCAACAGTTCACATCCCATTCCATCCCATCGCCAGCCTTTGTACTACAGGAGAGTAGAGAGACAATGGCTGATAAACGAATCTTCGATTTCCAGGCATTTTCTTTGTGAAGATCTGGCAAATAATATGAAATGATTGCACATACCATGTTTAAGTGCCTGTTGTGTTTAGCTGAGTTTTTTTTTTTTTCTGATGCAGAACAACTTTGAAGCTTGCACATTTACATTCCTGCTAAAAAGATCTCCCCCCCCCCAAGCCTTATACAAAAGAGTCTGCATTTCAAGAATGATGTTAATTCAGGCAGCGGGTAGCCAACAGCCAGTTACAGCTGAGCATCTCCACCATCAACTCTAATTTCAGGTCTCTGATGACAAGATGTACATGACCTTCTAATGAAGAACCATACAACATTCCTAGATATAAAAAAAAAAAAAATCTTTAGAAATGCATAGTCTACCTGCATATATCCTGTAAAATGAAAAATTCTGGAGTTGTGGAAGATGCAAAGAAGAGCAAGTAAAAAAGTGCTCTTTTTTATCCCTGTGGCAAGCAGGTTCTATTCATTGCTCTACACCTGACCACACTGCTTGCACATTCATCTTACTTGGATAACATTCAGATACCTTAGTCTGAAGAAGGAAATCACTAGAAAACTAAGAACAGCAGCCTGCCTTCTATGTGGATGAAATCCAAAACAACTTACCAATCCCCTTATTCTTCAACATGTCTCTTGGCAGTGCAGGATCCAGCTCTAAATCCTTACAGATGATGATGATACATTATTTCAAAGAGTTGCATACCTTCAGTTGGCAACTGAAGTTGGCATTTATGCACATATGGGGACCAGGTGAATGTCCAAAGTAAACTGCCAATTGTACATCATCCTGCAGCTAAGCTCAGATACAGACCTAGGAACCACAGTGAGCAAAATCAACTGCCTAACACAAGAAGTTTCCTTACTAGCTTCAGATGAAATTCTGACATTCACCTTCCCTATGAAGTATTCTCAGAGAACTCAAATACACAGAAATCAGTTTGGGACTCATGCTTTAAGCCATGCTAGGTAGAGATCTGAGACTTTACATGAACTGGCAGTCTTCTCTACTGTCAAACATGGATAGCATATTATTAAATTTCTTATTATTAACTTTCTCCCCTAATCAGTAGCCCTAATACCCCTTTCTTCTCCCACCACACTCAGTGTAAGAGCCATGAGGACACAAGTAATATAAACTTTAGCACAATAAAATTGCATCGCTGTTAATCAGCCTGAGAATAAAAAGGTGAAAATCCTGAAAAGGCTGGAGCCAGGCATCAGTCTTGCCCAGTTTTAATCATGATTCATACTTGTTTGCAGTTACATATGTAAGTTATTAGCATATTACTTATGTTTTTGCCACGGCAAACCAGAACCCCATAAGCATTCTGTGTTCAGAAGCTTTTAAAACGCAAAGAAACAAATAAATAAAGATTTCATGACCACTCAAGAAGCTGGCAGCAAAGGAAACAGAGAAACATGATGACAGAAGAGAGATTTCACTCACAGCTGCTGTTACCTTTACAAATCAAATCAGTTGGGGTCAGTACCTTGTAGGTCCACACCCCAATTGCACTGAGGAGTTAACTATACTTTCAAATCACTTCTGTGTCCAGGCTCTCGCATACAGGAGTCCAGCTTAGGTACAGAGAAACTGCCTGGAACTGTGCTGTTATGTTTTCAAAAAGTAAAATTTTACTTTATCTTCTATTCTCTCTAAAACTTGTTTTGTGTTAGCATTTTCAAAAAGGATGAATAATAAATATATTAAGTATCTAGCTACATGGTCTTTAAAGTTGCTACAGAACTTCCTGGATGTTTCTTGCCAGCTGTTGAAAAGCTAAATTCTAATTGAAAAAATACACCTTTTTATCTAGAATTCCACTTAAAAAAAATCATGCAATATTCACCTAATGCCTCTACAGAGCAGTAGAAAGTAAAACAGCAAATCACCTCCATACTGCCTTGCATTGTTAACATACACAATAAAAAATGACCAACCCATAGGTTCCTTCCTTCATCATCATCCTCATAAAGACAGCCTGGAGCTGAACAACCCACTATACTACTTAGTTTAGCCTTCTGTTACTCAGCAAACTGTAGTCTTGGAAGACTTGGAGAAGAGGAAGACTTGAAAAGAGAACTGATTTCTTCGTTTAAAATCACCCTATTGCACTAATATTAATTGAACTGTAAAGTTCCATGAAACAGAAAGCGATCAGCACAATGCTGAGAGACCCTCAAAGTAATGCAGGATACAAACAAACAACAATGATTGTGGCTGTAGGTACAGCTTTGTTTTCAGAATGACTGACAACCCAGTACACTAGGCAACTAGGTGTTCAATTTCACTGAAAAATCAGGTCAGAAGCATTTTGAGTGTTCCCCAGAGGTAGTAATTCCTGGTTCTTCTTTAGTAGAATAAATCCCCTTCAACTTTCAGTAACTTTGATAGGGAACTGCCTGTTCAGAAAATACAAATAACCCCCAAGTGATAGTATGCAGGTTTTGATATTTAGATTTTCCCCTCTAGATTTAAATATCAACTCCCCTCCAGTAGATACTCAAGAGAAGCTGTGCCTTATCTCTCATTACCCCAGTGGCATACAGCTCACATAGAACTCATCTGTCCATGAAATGAGGATGAGGCCATGGGGATGAGAGGCTGGGCCACTTTTCTTGTAATGGTGCTTTTTTTCAGAATCCTGGGCTGCTTTGCAGAAATGCTGACTTTTAGTCTTCCTCTTATTTCATCTCATCAAATCTGTACTTTAGAGCTTGAGCCCACTGCACAACACTATTTGCTATTCTCCTACAACTGCAGTACTAACCACCAGGGAACTGTTCTATGAACAATTTGGTTGAAAGTTTCCATACTACTTGACTCACTGTTCCTTTGAGCGTCATCCTCACTTTTGGTTAGCTCATTTGTGACATCTTTATGCTTCTCTGCAAAGCTTCACTATTTGCTATTCCTTGGACAGACTATTAGAGTAGATGAAAAGAAGAATGGACTAGGAGCCTGAAAGGCATCTGCCAAAGTCAGACAAGGGCCCAGTTCAATAGCAGACAAGCCTATGGTACTCAAATGACTTCCTCAGTCTCCCAGGATGTTTTCTTCACAGAAGCTGTCTGATAAAATAGTATGAAATGGTTGTGCCATCTCGGCGATTAATCATCCCACAGACCTTTATTCAAATAAGGCCTATTCAAACTTCTCAAACATTTTGAACATTCCTGTGCGTGTTTATATGGAGGTTCTGCCCAATTCTTCTATCTCCACAACTTTTCACAGCCTGCTATCTTTGAATGTTTGCAGTTTATTCTGTAATCTGCTTTATGACTTGTATCTCCAATTCCTCTAGTTGGTATCTAGGATACCAAATACATGCAGAACAGTAACCCCAAGTAAGTTGATGAGGAAAATCAGGGCCCTAGTGTAAGCAATCGATGAAAAGAGTGAAGAAGAAAAACATCTGTTCCTGCAGGAAGGACCAAAGTAGTCTCTGAGACACACAGACTGGGCACAACAGCCTCTGACGCATACCAGTGGCTTGGTGCAAAGCTGAAAAAAATATCATTCCCCCAGTTTCCAAGAACAAACATTTTGCTCTACTTACTTCAATCGCAGCAAAATTTAGCCCTGTTCTTGGAGCTATATACCTTTTCTAGGGACAAGCTTTGAGTAGCCTGCTCACTAGATCCTGGTTCTGCTAGTCTACCCCTAAAATTGCAGGGTGACAACTGTGAAGCACTCTTAAAATTGTTAAAAAGAGGGCAGAATTCGGCACACAAATGCCTTCATGTAAATCCACTTAGCAAACCAGTTTGGTCATATATTGAGAACTATGTTTTTACATTTACTTGTAAATTTGTGTGCAACCTTGCTTTATATACTGTATGAAAAACTCAACTTGAATGATGCAGTAAACCAGAACTTTTGTCTCAACGGCACATATACTACAATGTTGACAAAATTGTATTTTGATTATTCCATTATATTGCATTCCTACGCTGTCGTGTTCCAATGTGCTGTAGGGTCTTTTTTATTGACTCTCGCTATTCATCCTATAAAATCTCTGGTAGGATAGCTGAAGTTTTTGGCAGGTGGTAAAGCGTGGGAGGCAGTTTGGAATTGTACAATAAGTGCATTAGCTGAATGTTTGTGCTAGAGGATCAGCAATAAAATCACTGACATTAATACTGGAAATGTCATCTTGAAGTTTCAGAGCTAAATATCCACAAGATGAATTAGGCAGTTCACCCCTGTGCTAACTTTTGTTTCAGCTTGTGAAAACATACAGAACACTGCTTCAGTGATACTTAAGTCACGTTTTCAAGGTTTTTGCAGCAAAACTAAAGGTCAGAAACATAATTCTTTCAAGGCACTCTAGATGATAATTTGCCCATATATTCCATTACAGCATCATCACAGATTACTGCAGGCCATGGGCAACAAGGGTTCATCACAACTACACTCTACTGCAAATATGTCTGTGTCAATGAAAAATGGATTGGGTCCTCATTTACTAAGATCCTCACTGAACAAATTAATCACTAGGGAGGGATGAAGATCTGATTCTATAGGCCTCAGTGATTTTTCTTTGGGAGGTTTCACCTCTACTGACTGACTTCACTATGTAGCTGATTCACAAGTCTCAACTATGTCTTCCTGAACTAAAGCACTTTTCTGCAAGACTGAAGAAAAATGTAAAGAATGTCCTGGCCCTTTATTACAGCCCAAGCTTAAACAACAGAGCATCTTTGAGCCAAAGCCTAAAGCAAACAGGGGCCATTATAGCCAAGTTTTTTCCCAGCCACATTTTTAGGGATCTTCCTCTTCCAACTCTACAAAATTCAGCCTTTGCTCCCTTCTGTTTAGTCTTCTTTGTCCCAGGAGGAATAAATTCCCTACACAGCTGAACCCAGGCTGTTACCTAGGAACCACTATGTGCAGGGTAGACAGCTGTGTTTCTTCCTCTTGCTGAGTTTTTTTTTTTTCCTGCCAGTTCTTGAGAAAGATAAAAGCACCCCAGCGTGCCCACCCCCCCCCCCCCTTCCCCTTCCTGGTCTTCAGCACTGGCACTCACCTGTGGAATTTGACCCTGGCTCACAGGATGCAGCACTGTGAAGGCTGTTCTGGAATCCGTTCAGTTGCCTGTCACTGGAGGCCACCCTAGCAGGTAAAAGCATCAGATTAGAAAGGATGAATGAGAAAGGGTATACCAAGGAAGCGTAATGGTCTTGAACATAAAAGTTATAATTCTCCTAGTTCACATAATTTCACTAGGACTGCAGCTATGAACATGATATGAGATAGGCAGTGACAGCAACTGGCTCCAAGAAGGCAGGGGATGACAGACAAACACTCGAGCTGCCAGCAAGACTTCAACGTGCCTAAAGCTTTTGTCCCACATGCCTTGCAAGATGATTCTGAAGGATAAAGGAAATGGTAAATAATATTGGTCTACCAATGCACAACTCAACTAGTAATGCTGTGGTATACTTTCTCCAGTGATTTGAAGCACAATGATTAAGCAACCTTAAAACAAAAATGAACATGAGAAGGGGGCTAGCCACAAGATGCTACTCTCAAAATCTAAGAAAATCTAAGTCCTTGTATCTTGTCCCAACAGAGACAACTGATCTGGGCAAGATTTCTCACTTGTCTCAGGAACTGAGACCCACAGGATGTGTATAGTCTCCAGCAGTGCAGCACAAGTCCTCTAGCAGACACTTTATGCAAATCCTCTTGCATTTAGCTCAGCATTTGAATTACAGCAAAGCAATACTCTGTGGAGTACAACCACACTCTCTGTAGCTATTATAAAGATTCATTTCCAAAATGAGACCATTCTCTCCTACATAAAAAAAAAGTGTCTACTCACAAAAGTAGGTCAAGTTGTACAGCTGCAATTACCTTTTCTGTCCTTAAAATCTACACAATCAATCCACCTATTCTTGGTCTATCCTCTCTTCTCTTATCCCTCCTTGCCTTTCCTCCCTGCCCAACTCTGTTCTGATCACTACAGACTTCTGCGTGTACACCCCTGTCTCTCTGCCACAGTGCTTTTCCTTCACTCATTCACCTCTGCCATGAAATACAGTTCCTGTGAGCTCTTCCCCAGAAGAACACTGTGATCTCCAATCCCCACGTGATGCCATGATGACTAACAGACCCAGGCACATATGTGCAGTTGCTGTATTTTTTTTTCCCTGAAACATTCTGCCTTCAAATTTTGAAGTCAGCAAGTTGCCAGCAATCCAGGTGCTCCTGGCAGTTGAAAGGCCAGTGAGGGACTCCTGTATTTTATCTTAGCTGGACTTGAGTAAAATAAATCAGAGTCCATATGGGAAGGGAAGGGGAAGCAGATATGACATTTGCAAAGCACAACGCCTTACTTCAATCAGCTGTAATTTGAAATGCTGTTGTCAAATGAGGTGCCTGTTTCTATGTTTATTGCCTCTTGGAGAGAATTTTGGATCTGTACTTATGGTTTCTTTTGCTGCGTGGATACTGCATGGTCCATCTGGGGGTGGAGAATCCAGATGGATCTTTATCCTTTTTACATAAACATTCCATGCTCATAATTAGCTGGTCAACTTCATTAATACAGCACAATTGACAGCCAAAACTAGTTCACCCTTCTGTAGGTAGAATGCAAAACTGGCAGTTGAAAATATCAGGGATGTTGGCCAGTACAACGAAAAAAAATATCAGGGAACAGTTACCCTTCTATCTTTATGTCTGATTTACATTTAGAGACTCTATTTCCCTCTCCAGACTTGCAATTCCTCTCTTCTTTCTGCCCACACTGTATACTGATTGTTGCGGTTTCAACTGTCACCTCCACACGGCTCATTCTCAGATCTACCCCACAACCTTGACCTCCCACCATGCTAAGCTCACCCCTCAAGTTCTCTCTTCCCTCAGCTGTCCTGATAGGATCTCCAGTCCCAGAACATATTTCCTGCTTAAACGAATTAATCCCTTTCCACTTTCTTCCTCCTTGGGTTAGCTGAAACCCCATTACCTTTCTAATTTTCCTACTTTTAATGTCTGTGGAGTTTTTGTTCCTACTTCTGCAATGAAATCCTTTGTTACATTCTCAATTTCTTCCTCTTTAAAATGAACAAAACCAGCCTTTTCTCCGCTGTCCCCCTCCAACTATTTGCCATTGGCCTTTTCTCTCTCTTATGCAGCAAAGCTCTTCTTGAAATTGACACTGACGTTTCTTAATGCAGGCACTAAACCACCTCTAAGCCGCCCAGCCTGGAGGGTGCTCTTGTTCTAGAGGTGACAAAGAAATATTTTCTTGACTGAAGTCTGAACACCTTTAAAAAAAACAGTTCTTGGGATATCACGAAATGCATCTAATGTTCCGTGGGGACAGGACTGACACCAACAAATTCACATCACACAAAGCCCAGGTTTGACAAGAGGACAGCAACAGATGTGAAGAGCCAGAGCCAGGAAGGCTTGTTCCCCTGTTGCTCTTGGCCAGGGTATCTCCACATGTGTATCTGCGTGTAAGATCTGAGGCTAGCCAAGGGCTAAGAGCTGCAGGCCCAGTGAGCCCAGCTGTGTCAGGGTGTTAAATCAAGGCACGTCTCTCAGATGCACTGCTTTTGCTGCCAAAAATGTCTAAGGGTCAGGCAGCCTGATTAACCCAGATGCTCAGGAGCTAAAAAAACAAGCATGCCTCAGTACAGCAGTAGCAAAAAAGTAAAAGTGGTCTCAGTAACTGTTACATGTTTGCTCCCCTGATGCTTGTCCTCTTTTTGGTGGGCACTCAGCCTGTATACATGATCAGCTCACTTGAGATGCTTCACACATGCCTGTGAATAAGCACACATAGGCAAGACAGGATACAAACCAGAACCGTAGCATTTTACAGAGCTTGCTTTGTGGCCATTCTTCTATTTTTGGCATATTTGCCAAGCTTGGCCAGCCTGTCCTGTAACAGCTGGCTGCTACCATATCTGACTGTAGTCAGGACTCCACCCATCTGTGGGATGGAGCTCCTGAACCCTGGAGAAATGCATCACCTCTCCCCTATTTCTGTACTAGCTACAATAGAGCAGAACTTTGGATCTTCTGCTGCTGGCACCATGCAAAGCAAATATACAAGAGAAGAACAAGGTAGAAAGACTATGTGCTATGGTGTTGGGACTTGAAGGAAATGCTTGTTCTGAAAAGTTTCCTGAGCAGAGTTGTTGGGAATGACATTTACAGAGAAGTTCAGTAAACATGCCATGAAGAAATTATGCTGTGTTGTTTAACATCTCCAATAGTTTTTGATGTTTCAGTCTATTCAGACTACTGCTGGTAAAGTCAGCAATTTTCTTGGGCTTACTCTCTTCCAGATAAAATATTGAACTGTATGTTCCTTCTCTCTACCAGGCATTTTTTTTCTTTGCATGCAGTGATTTAACATCGACAGCTGTATTTTTTCTGAGATCTTTCCTTTGACTATCTGTTCACAGGCTGCCCAAGCCTTGCCCTACCTGATGCTTTTACAGTTAGAGTGCAGCAAGTTAGTGTAGGAATGATGCAGAAATCTGTGCTTATTGTGATTTATTCATTACTAAAAGCAGAAAGATTTTCTATCTGCCACCTGTACCAAATCACTCTTGAATTCTCACAGTTGTGCTAATATATTTCCCTGCTTTGTATGCTGTCATCTGTAATGAAGGTCCTACCCACCAAATGCTGCTTCCAGGGATATCTGCTTCATCCTATGGCTTACAAATACTATTTCAGTGACCTCTGTCTCAAGATACTGCTGACAGTTAGCAGCAGGTCCCTTTATGGTTCACAGACATGCCAGTAACAGTGGCAACACAAGGACCCAATCTGACTCTTGGAGAGAAAGAAGAGTTTGTTGTGTTAGCTGTTCAAAAAACTATCTTACTACCTGTAATCTGAGTATGTTTAATCAAAACTATGGAGCCCCAGGAGACCATTTCATGAGTATACATTTCTGAGTAGAGCTACGTATTAAACCATTTCTCCCAGTTACTATAGTCTTTTTCCACACCTTAATGTGGGCCCCAGTTTTCCACTCTGTTAGCTTAAGCAAGGAGTCTGCTTTGGACGCAATCCATTATAAAGTCAACCTACCACCTTTTACAAGTTGAGAGACTGCGAAAACAAGAGAGGCCAGGAACTGAAAAGACAAAACTCAATTGTCTGGCTGTTGCATTACTTTTTTCCTTTATGTTTTAACCAGAGAAGCGTCGAAGTTACTAGACTCCTTTTAAATTAGTCAGTATTGTTCATTTTAGTATCTCGCTCTGTTTGTAGTCAAGCTTTCTACTACTTATTCTTTTCCTTCTCTTCTGGAAGCCATGTGTGCAGCTAGGAGAGAAATGATAACGCATGCAAAGAAGAGATAGGTCAAAGAGACAAAGTTGATTTTAGTTTGTCTTCATGGTCCAGTCTCTAGAGGGCTTCTACAAACAACTTGAAAAAGAAGGTCTTTATTAAGATGTTAAACAAAAGCCAGGCAGTGCAAGAGCAGACAGAGAAATAAGGTCTGGTTTACTGAAAAATATGAAAGAAAAAAAAAAAAGAGAGAGAGACACGAGAGCTTTAACAGAACAGGATTAGTTTCAGTGAGCCTTGTGGAAATAATATATATCAGTGAGATCTTCTTTGAGGAAAGAGGTCAGGAAAACAGCCAACAAGAATTAGGGGGTGAAAGCTAGCAGCAGCAAATCAAAGATGACCTTACAGAGGAATGAAGCAGCCAAAAGCCAAAATTAGATTAGATGTTATGGAGAGGGATATTTGCTATGTTATAACCTAAGGATCCAGTAGTCCCACACTGGAAAAGTACAATTCTAGGTGCCACAATTGCAAGCATCCTCACTGAAGAAAACACAGTAAATTCAAGACAATTAAAAACTTGGCAGGTGGAACTACTATCTGAGGTTAACAAAACCTCAACAAGTCTAAACAACATTAGGAAACTCCAAGAAGCAGAAGTTATTCAAAAGACGGAAAGTATTTGCAAGGGAAAATGTTGAGGGTGGTTCAGGAAGGAGAAACAAGGTACAATAGGATGAAACAAAGGAAAAACTCAGATTGCACGTCAGGAGAAACTTTCTAATAATAAGGTTATTTAGATTCTTAAAAGGTCTTATATAGCCCATGATAGGGCTTCTGCCACTCAAGTTATTTGAAGGCAGGCTATACACAGTGTCTGAAAGTATTTTGCACAGAATAACCAGGGACTGTAAAGAACAGGCTGGAGCATGCAAGACACCTTTTTCATCTCTAATCTAGATTCAATTGAGGCAGAGGCTTGTCTTCATCAACTCTCATCTGTAAATGCACCTCTGGTCTATTCCTGACAACAAAGGATGGGTTAAATTAGGCTGAGACACAGCAGTTTTTAAATTATTAGCTCTCAGTATGCTGGAAATATAGCTGGGCACTGCTGCTTTCCATGTAAGTGAAAAAATGTTACTGCAAGATCCCATGAATGGCAAGAATGGGTTCAGAGCCTCGTACTGGAGTCTGAAAGGCAACTTGGAAAGTATTTCCGGAGTGGCTCCTTGCAGCCTTCAATACTTGGATTAGTTTTCTAAAATTCTGAAGGAATCTTTTGCTTTTTTTCCCCCTTCTGTGCATTTTTGGTGCTGAACTTTTTCCGGTTTTCCCACACTCCTGCCTGTCACAGAGCAGAAACCACAAAAATGCAGCAAAGTAAAGTCTGTCCAAGGAGCTGCAATTCCATCTCACAAGGATAAACATTTCTTCTGCCAACAAGTGAGCACAGCACACCGGCATCTTCAAATACACATCCCTGCTGCCCAGCAGAGAAACCCACTGACACAGCCTGTCACCTGTACTAACATGAGCTATCCAACATAAAAGACATCAGATTGCAAACCCACCAGCATATACCTGCCAGACCTTATGCTCACATCTGTATTTGCTGAGTTGACAAAGTCTACTGCCATTTTATTTTCCTTTTAGATGCTTTTGGGGGATCCGTTTAATGTGCTAGCTCTTAGAATAGCAAGAGTTGAAGCAGGAAATACACCAGCTTCCCCAGCACAGTTCTGTCCAAGTTCCTTAAATATGCCTTGCAGTTCCAGATTTGATCCCCACACACTGACAGTGCCCCAGCAGCTTTCACAAGGTGTCTTTCATTCGTGATCTTTTACTAAGCCTCCCCTCTTTAAACCAGGAAGGAAACAAAGAACCAGGAAACCTCACAGGAACCTGTTAAAGTTTTACAACTCTTCTGGCCATACAGTATAAGGGAGGAAGTTACGACTGCAATTTTTACCCTTCAGCATTCAGGGATGAAATACATCTGAGGACATATGAGGAAAAACCTGCCGAAGAATTTAAATGGCAGAACTGCTTTAGACAAAGAAGAGATAAACAGAGAGCTGAGGGAGTTAAAAAGAAATGTAAAGAATAAGAAAAAAAGAAAACAGAAGCCTTGCTCACATTCTCTCATAATGCACAAAAGAAAAGACACAAAGAAATGGAAAGGAAGGAAACTTAAAATCAGTAAACAACATTTGAAGGTGAGTGTTGTATTTTGTTTTTAAAGATAACACATGACAAATTCATCTTCTTTATAATGTCAAGTGCTAAAACTAAGAGATTAGTAAAAATTAGAAGGGTGGACATTTTTACAGATAATGAAGAAAGCTATCATTACATTAGACACATAAACAATTTGAATGAAATAAAAACTTGTGCCTAAAGGCATGAGTCAATGTTCATGTGTTAAGTTTACAGGAAAGCTTGGCTAAAGGGCAAATTAGCTTGTTAAGGATATTGGTGGGTTTAGGGTATTTTTTTTTGGCAGCCTTTTCTGACCCACCAGACTCTGGCCTCCATCAAAGATTAAACATGAAGCGAGTGACTCAAGTGCCTAAACACAACTGTCTAGTACCATACATGATACTTGCAAGATTTTTGAGACTTCTGCATGGGACTGGTAGATTCAGCAAGGTTTGCAGAAGACTTGTGCTTAACTGGAGCAGCAGCTACAGCCAGGTAGGATAGCCTTAGGCATCTAACATCGCGCTATTAACCAGTGTTTAGGTAACTGAATCCCAGCCTGGACCACACACTTCTCTGATTCAATCTGGCAGTTACATCCCTATGTTTGTATGATGCTACAGTCCTGTTTACCTTACCATTGTAAAAGATGAAAATGCATGACAGTACACATTTACTTCAGCTCACACAGGTCAAGCTGTTCTGAGATTTATCTTGAACAAAACAGCCTGAAAGGCCTATGTCTGAATCACACGTAGACAGGTTCTTCACCCATACTTCTGAGGGGAACCAGTGCCAACTCCCTGTTGTAGATGGGAAGAGATAAAACTTACTTGGAAATCCTCTGGGCTGCAGCCTTTCTGGCTACTGTCTGTCTGTGGTTTGCTGGAGGCTTTGGAACCAGCTGAGAAGGCGTACTCTGGGATGGCATCACTTTGTGCAAACTGGCTGCCTTCTGGAGACTAGAAGTGGCACTTGATGTCTTGCGGGCACCAGAGCCAGTTGGCATAGATATATGGCTGGTGCTGGATTGCGAGTAGTTGGCAAAGAGAGCCTGGTAAAAACAGAACAAAATAATAGTAATTGGTGATTGTCTCTCCAAATACTGCTGAGAGAGCTGATGGAAGTGGGTGATGTTATCTGTCTGGTGAAGGCAACCCCCAGGGCTCCAGGGACAGTCCCAAGCACAAAAAGAAGATATAAAGGATCAAGTCAGTGAAGTGGTTTTAAGAACTGAATTGTATACCCTTGGAAACTGGAACTAGCTTCTAGGAGGCTTATTACTGCCATATAACAATACTATCCTGGGAGGAAAAAAAAAAAAGAAATAAAAAGAGGTCGTATCCCCAATCTAAGCATGCAGTGGGCTCAAAAACATAAAGTTTTTATTGCTTTGACTGACTTTCTGCACTTACCCTGGTAAGCTATTCTTTGTGGGGGAGCTGGGATTGAGACAAAGTTCAAGAAAAAAAAATATGAGGAAGATGCTACAATGCCAGTTCTTCAGTCCAACCCTGCAGGTGCTTGGAATAACAGGAAGGCTCTAAGCTACCTTCTCTGAAAAAGGGGACTTGAGGTCAGCAGCTAACAAAATGGAAATCCCCCAGTCATACCAGGGAACAGAAAATATTTCTATTCCTAAAGCAGGTGGGAGAGTAAGGACGTTGCAGATTTGATCCAGGGAACAAAAGAATCTGCATGGTGTGAGACACCAGAGACCAGGGCAGTGGACTGGCCCAGCAGGGAGTGGGCAATGGTTCCCTTGGGGAGCTCTGCAGACTGCTAGGCTCTTTGCACAAAGGAGCAACCTGCTGGGAGTTCTGCCTTGTCTTTCCTCGAAGTTTCTTAGTCAGTTTCCCAGGGCAAAGAGGCAATGCCATAACCCTGTAATTTGGCAGCTAGAGGTCAGTGATAGGAGCTGAGGGGAAGAGCTGAGCAACTGCCAGGCACCTCGGTGTAACCTTGGGAGCAGCGCACTTCACTGCAGTTGTCCTCAGTTTCTTCTCCGGTGAAAAACACAACAAAGCCACATAGAGTGGGCTCCAGGCTCCAGAGAAAACCACAGTCTGAGGGCTGGCTGCGTCTCAGCACACAGACAGGAAAAGCCCCTCTCCCCCGCAATTCTCTGGCAAATGGCAGGGCAGTGGTGTGTGGGAAGGCGTTTCTGACAGGCAGAGCTCTAGGGAGAAAAGGAAGTGCGGGAGCCAAAACAGGCCTGTTTCCTAACCAGAGCTCACTGACAAGATCCCCTTGAGCTCCCAAGCTTTTCTTAACCTCTCCCTCCCCTGAAGCCCTACCTTGATGGCAGCTTTCAGGTTTTGAAATAAGTAGCTGGTGCAAAAGCAGAAGTCTGGAAAATAGCAGTCACACCCCACCTCTCCCCACAAAACAAACTAAAACGAAACCCGGTTCTGTTGCATCTTAGAGTCTCAAGCAGTATGGGGTTGGGATGGAGCCCCTCAAGTCACTGCACCCCTCTCTGCTCTTTCTTATTCAGAGGTGCCATTTCACCGTGTGCTGCTCGATATGATGCATATTTCCTGTAAGTTGTTTTTTTTTTTTCTTGTTATTAAAATCATTATGATCCTGGTGTCTGCAAAGCACAGTCTTAACCCTTTCCATGTGTTAACATGCACAGGCAGGGAGGTCTGTGACTCTGAAGAAAGAATAAGAATGGATGCTCAAATAAAGCCTGATTAGCAAAAGCTGGGCTGATACCTGCCTACAGAAAGGTCACGGATGTTTTTCTTGGGGTTAATGGACTTCCAAAATGGCCTTTGTCTCCATGCTGTGCTGAGATCCTGGCTGCCTTCCAGGCAAGGATGGAGAGAGTGGAAGCTGACACGGACCACGGCTTCTGGATTCAGCTACAAAGCACACTGCCCTGCTGGGAACTCCACGGGGACAGGACAGGAAACCAGGAGAAGCTACTGTGCAAACAAAAGGGGCAGCTGGGGAAAGCAAAGCCTGACCACACAAAGGAGAGGTTGGGAAGAGATTCCAGAGATAACCAAAAAGCGGGAGACACACCTCATCGCTCAGGATCCTGACTGCTCAGGACCTAGGGAGAGCAGAAACCTAGAGAAACCCTGACAGAGACATTTCTAAAGCAGGTAGCACCCTGCAACTGTTGGTGCTGCAAGTAAATAATCTGGACCCACACTTTCCAGGCTGGCAGATTTAATTTAATTCTGAGAAGACATTTGCTTCCCCCACAAATTCTTCAGGCTACAAATCTGAAAGTCCTTAAACACTAGCAGATTTTTTCGCTAAAAATCACCTAAAGCATTAGTGAGCTAATTCTCTTGCATAATTCTCTGGGGAGATAGGACCATTCAGAAAAGGACAGCATTAACCCTGTTGTGCACACAAAGCATGTTAGGCACTGACCAAGTGATCTTCCCCAAGCCACAGACCGAAGCAATATGAACTGCTAGGTTGTGAGCTCAGAGAGGATCCTGAGTCCTGATCCCCAATTTGCCCCGTTATAACTCACCTCTCCTTACATCCAGATCTACACTGCACTGCATAGATGAAGTTATCTGCACAAAAATTGTCATTTTTAATTAGAAAATCTCAACATGTACAGCTTGTCAGTAATGACAATACACATCTAAGGGTATTATTAGCCGGTAGCAACTGAGCTTGGGCTGCTCGTGAATAAAAGCAGGGAGGTACTGTGGTACTTTGAAGAAAAGCAGATATATTAATGATCTTCAAAAACAGAAGGAATGTTCCTGGCACTTACCATTCCTGTATCTAACACCCATCCCTAGCACAGTAACGGAACAAATGTTGCAAGCAAAAACATGCTCATTCTGTGACCAGAGGAGCTAATGAAGCTCATTTCCTGTGAATCTGTCTTGGGGCTGAATCTTACAGTATGTAATATAAAGTATGCCCCAAATTATGCTTCCCTTCATGGGTTTGAGGCATTTGTGTGAGGATTTCTGCTGTATAATTATGAGTGCCCCGATGCTGCAGCTTTGCCTTAATGGAAACAGTAGCTGAGTTCCCTTCCCAGATTCATAGGTCTTTATTTTCATGAATTTTGTATGAAATGTAGCTTTGAGATTTCTGCACCATAGTTGTTCAGCTTAAATTGAATGAGCAAGACTGAAAGTGATGAGAGACTCAGCAGTGTGTGAGAACTGACAGATATACGTGCACATGGACTGCACAAAGATCCGTGCAGCTAGGCAGCCAGTTCCACACCTCTACTTCTGGAAAGCAAGATGTTGATAAGCAATAAACAATGATGAGGATTTAGTTTTAAAAAAATCCAAAAAAAAACTTTTAGAAATTTTAGGAAATTGCATTTCTAATGACTTTGCAAAAATACAGGGATTCAAAAGGCTTCGATGAGCTTTGGATTTATACAAATTGTTTAGTGCAGGTTCCTTTGAATACATATTAATATGATCATTTAAATAAGTTTGGATGCAACAATCAGTTGAGTTGAAAATCCACAACATTGAGATAATAGCACATTTTGACCCAGTTATTTAACTGCCACGGTGTTAAATTCCATTAAGAGGAGCATCTTGGGGTCATCAAAAAAGTGAAGGAAGAAAAGCAAATTCGTGGCATTCACAGAATGTCCTGAAGCAAGTCTTCCTTGGTGAATTCTTCATAGAGGTATTAAAATATACTGAAATAAATTGACTTGGTGCTTCCTTCTTCGACTCTCTTCTTGTATATGGTTTATCTTTTCAACCTGGGAGCTCTCTGAGGCAAGATTTGGGCCATATCATTGTATTGCAAAGACACTTAATACATCTGGGCGTTACCATAATTCTAATAATAGCGATGGGATTGGAAACATGGGGACAAAGTTTCAGCTGGTATAAATCAGCACAGACTACTGCTTTCAGAACAGTTGTTCTGCTTTACTTAGTCTAAGTCTTTGACTCATCAGTATCACAAGATTCAAATAGGAAAATGGCAGTTAGCACATCTAGAGGGAAAACAGTCTGAGGGAGAAAGCTGCAAAACAAGAAAGAACGAGAGACTGCAAATCTGACAGCAGTCCAATATATAATAGTTCAGAAAACAGTTAATGATGTTTAAGGCTGCACTCAAAGAGGTCCTGTATCCTCAGGCCAGAAAAATGTAGTTCTAGGAATACTAGGAATATTATTTTAAACATTCATTAATCCCAGTAAGGTTTAAATAAATGGCAGGAAATTTGGAGTCGCATATGTTGAAAGGAATAATGTTTGCTGAATTTCACAAAGTAAGGAATATTTCAGAGAACGTACCATGACCTTTCAAATATTCAAATGATTAAAAGAGGAGAATTATTTAAGATTTATTTAGCCCGATGTTTCGTAGTATAAAATCTACTTAAACTTCTGATTCAAAATGTGATCACAACTGACCACACAACTCATTAACATGATTTATGACTTGCTTAACATGACCTTTTTTGATATAAGTAGGACTGATGGGGATCATTCCACTATACGACTGAACTTCTCTTGTTTTAATTTAGCTTTTTTTCCCATGCGAAATGCTTGGCATAAAACTCTAAACCCAGTAGATGCTAGGCTAAGCAGACAGAACATAGCCACACAGAGAAAGAGGAACCTCCCTAACAGCTAATGGCATCTTTCCAGTACAGGAAACAATTAGAGAATAAACAATGATGGTATATTAACTGCCTTGCCAACTGCAGCAGTGATACTAACATCTAGGTCATAACATGTCACATGGAGCCTCCTTTAAACATTAAAAAATACTGCTATAAACCTGTTTTTATTGTCTTTTGGTATGATTTTGTAATTCTTTTTCCTTGATTTTATTGATATCAGATTTAAGTTTCTCGTCTCCACTTTCAAACTCTGTCCCTTTCTTTTTTTTTTTTTTTCCCCTCAGGCTTTGTATTGTCTCTGTTCCTGGTCCCTATCACTGCAGAGCTTTATCCATTTGTTTGCTAGATTCTCATTCAGTCTGGTGCTTCTCTTTTTGTTCAGGGAACAAAATACCTATTCTGGCACTGAAGATTTATTTCCACCCTACTGCATGGTATGAACTAACTTTCACATACAATGAGTGGAAATTATCGGTTATTATCCTTTTATCCACCTCCATAGTACGTGCTGCCCTGCAAATTGTGAAATGCTTGGAGGAGAAATCATCATTTTTAAGTGTCTGGAAAGCACTCATCCGAGAGTGGGCGCTACCACAAAGAAATATGCAATAAGCCCTCATGATCAGATACATCCACTGCATGGCAGCGGGGAGTATTCCTATTACACAAATACTTGGCTACAACTCTTACGCTTCCCAACACATCTAGCTCATCTCCAACATATCGAACTGGTTAACATACAGGCAGAAGCATCTGGCTGTGTTATTAATCATAGTGCTTCTGTTATTTGTTCACATGCTATCCATATACATACAACCAGTTCATTTGTCACAAACAGAAGGAAAGATGTGCAGCTAATTATGTTGTATGGTCATGCCACACTCACAGTGTACCTTGAGGTATCTGAATAAATACACTTCAGCTACTGATGAATGGCTAGTCTGCCTTCCAACAAGAACTTGAACAATGAGATGAAACGCATGGTTTGGAGACGTCCTGCATGCATTTCCCAAAGCAGAGAGATCATGACACCCTCTCAAGTAACAAACCCTCTCCTTTTTGTGATATATTTGTTCTGTTGATGGAAATAGGCTTTCACAACTGCAAAGCATTTCATGGAGGGGATCAGTGCGAATCTGAGAAACTGACCACACAGGGTGGAGGTCATTTTCTAAGGATCATCCAGTAACAGCCTGACAGCAGCCAAGACCAAAACAATGGCCTCCCACACTCCAGAGCAGTGTTCTGGCCAAGTAGCCTTTAATTCTAATTAAGATCATTAAGGAAAGATCCAGGATCCACTAAAAAGGGTGAATCCAAACTTGTGGATCCCACAGAGCTGACTTCTATGGTTTTCTGTTCATGAAATGGACAAGGTTGAGTCCTTGTTTCCCTCTTTATCATTCTTTCCCCTCACCGCCAGTCTGTGGCAGTCTCCCCAAATTGTTCTGCTAGATCCCCCTCCCTTCCATCACTTGCAGTGCTTTAAATATTTGGAGAAGCAATTTCCAAATGGATGTAGATTTTTTCCAAATCTTGTCCAATGTATTTTCTTAGATCAGAGTAACTAACAACTGTTAATTGTGTCCAGACCAGTCTGTGAGTGATGTGACTGAAAAACGTAATCCTTACTACCCTGCTGAGGGTTTCCCATAAAACATCCAATTTTTTCTAAACTCTGAATTCTCCCAGTTGCATACATCTTGCATAAGACCAGTATGCTTGCCCCATTTGCAGCATCAATGTAAAGCTGCTTGGGAAGAGTGAGTGGCAAAAAACATGATAGCATATCAGAAAAAGGTCTTTATGGATGGCAATCTACAGCAGATGAGAAAGAGAGGGAACGTATGAGAAAAGAAAGACAGCAAAGAAGGAGATTTAAGGAGAAGCACTGAATTTGAGGTTCTTATGCTATGCAGAGCTCAGAATGAGAGACTTGCCTCTGGCTTCTCCTGTGTCCATAGTTTTCACTCTGATTAAGGAAACTAGAAACACTTTCCATACTTTCCTGGTATGAGTTTCCTACAAGGGAGGTCAATGCCACTGACACAAGGATGCTTTATCATGGAAGTGAAGATAAGACAACAAAAACAGAAGGCAAGTTCCTGGAAAGGTCAAGCCAAAGGACTGAAGTCTGAGAAGGAAAAGGTCAATAACAACAAACTTGAGAGGGAGATGGGGATAAACAGATGAAGATGAGGGTAATGCAATCACTGGGAGGGGCATCAGAGCATCCATGCAACTGCGACTGGAAGGGGAGGTAGGGCTGGCTCCAAAAGAGACGGTCATGTTATTAAGATATAGTTTACACTCCAGAAAGTCTGAAAGCCCCCATGTTCAGCAAATCCCTTTCTTCATTAATGGCAACTTCAGAGCAGCCTGAGCCCTGCGGTAAAGTAATAGCCTCAATACTGCAACTCTGAACTGCTTGGCTCAGAGAGAGAAGGGAGGGAAAGCTGTGAGGGGGATCTTGTGGGGGTGAGTGGAGGTTTAACAAAGAATCACTTTAACAGAAACTCCTGAGTAATGGCTCTACCCCAGGCCAAGAATAACATCAGCTCAATGTCAGCAATTAGAAGAAGGCTCAGCCAGGCCCCATGGCCAGCTCCAGCCTCCTCACAGGCACAAGCCAGCTTATAGTCCTTTCCTGAGCAGCCACTGCTGCCCACCCAGAGCCCTTTGGATGCAGATGAAAGGAAGACCTCCTGCTCCTGCTGAGAGGGGCTGCAAGTAGACTGTAGGTGGGGGAATTCAGGGACAGAAACCACATGGCTAAGTGAGGACCCTGAGAGAAGGAGCGTGAGGGGCAAAGGCAGAAGGGCCTCTCCTTTAAGACACTCTCAGAAAAGGATGGGGGCAATTTGCTTATAAGCTGTTCTCAAGGACTCTGACTCGTGACTCATCCACTTCATAGAAGGGAGAGTGGGTGTTCACATGTTAGCTCTGTTCATGGTCTTGCTGAAGTCCAGTTCTGCCAGACTGTCCAGCAAATAGCTCTAAATCTATTTGAGAGCAGTCTCTTTTGAGTGGAGGCTTGTTCACGCAAACACTTCTCTTTAGCAAGAAAGCCTCTTGGCCACCACTCAGAAGAAAAAACATACCTCCTTCTCAATAATAACAAAGAAGAGAAAGGAGTGCATCAGTGAGCTCATTGTGACTTCAGAAGGTTCGCCAGGCAGGATGGAAATGGTGTCTTGCCTTGGCATCTAGAAATTGCTCAGAGCATCAATAATACAAAGCCATTTTCATATTTTCTCTGGCTCTTGGACATTCAGCCCGTCTCTTCTCCTTACAGTTGTGACAAAGGAGTCATATGCCTGTCAGTGCAAAGCAGTGAAAGGAAATCTTAAGTGTAGTAATAACAAAATGTGTAGGAGGCTTTGAAAAGATTTTCAGGGTTGCAGAAAAACTTGCACCCTGCATCAGGGTCAGTGGCCATGTCTCCTGCACACTGAAAGCTCTTAAAAGAAATTAACATATTTCTCCAAAAGAACGATGAAGATTCTCCAAAATATTTATTTAAGTCCACTAACATGCTATTTTTTGGTAACTGTATCTTATGAGAAGACATCCAGTAGGAGAGGAATTTAGTCACGATGAACCCTTGATGGGGTCTGTTTGCTACAGAGTGCACAGTTGCCAACATAATTTCAAAACCCCACGTTTAGAAACATAACATTGAAATATAACAGTGACCCAGCCTGAAGCACTACCCAAGAGGAACGCAAGTCGAAGCAGAACCGTGTCACCCAGTGACAAGTGACAAAGAACCATTGAGACTACAGACAGTTCTAAAGCCATCTGAGGCACTGGAAGTGAATGCCTTGAACTGGTGCAGAAAAGCAAGCAGCAGCATGCCAATAGCCAGATGAAGGAGGATGTCAATGTGGTATAAGAGGCCAAAGGGAACTACAGGTAATATAATTTCAATGTTCAGTGACTTTAATAATAGTTCTATTGTTGTAACACACTGGAAGAGCTACTTCCTTCACAAAAGCTGTGCCACATGCACATGTAGGACTCAAGTCAGTACTGCTATTATGTCGGAGGCAGGATTTTTCTGAGTTACCTGGTGCCGGGCTTGGCTTTGCTCCAACAGCTGTCGTGACTGAAGTTTCTGCTGCTGAAGTTGCTGCACAGCAAAATGCAGCTGATAGTTGGGGTGTGTCAGTGGACTCCGTGTCACAGGGGTGCAGCCACTGTTCTCCATCTCTCCTTCCCAGGCAAAACGATCACTCTCTGGAGCCCTGGGAAAAGAAAAGACATCAGTCTTTCACCACTCTGCTTTTAAGGACTCCTGCTTACAAGGCACTATCGCTCCTTACTATTTAGCCAGCTACGAATTTGTTTTAAGTTGCTCTGACAAGCACAACACCTGATACAGGTTATCATGTGCTAACTGCCACCTTGCTGAGGAGTGTTTTGAATTCCAGGCCAGAACTGCATTACCAGCTGTAACACCATGCTTGAGGGGAACAAAGAAAGACAAAAGAGAAGAGAAATTCAAAACTGGAGCATGTCATTGTCTGTGGCTGATTAGCACTGAAAAGAGGCAGCATCTCAACAGAAAAAGAAATGAAGATTCCCATCACTAACGAGATAAGTATCTATTTGGATTTGTAGAGATTTTGTTAATACACTAGAATAAGGCTTACACCAAGCACACGCATGCTGCACTGAGGGTGGAATAAAAGAGAGGCATGTAAAATAATATCCACAGAAGGGATAAAGGACTGGGAGGATGAGGTTGCAACTAGGGCATATTTTGACTCCACACAGTTACAATCCACAAGACCTGAGGGGACTCATAGGTTCATTTCTTTCATCATTTCAGTCATGTAAGCCTTTCCCAGAGGAGAAAAGGCCTCCTGCAAAGAGGTAGGAGTTCTTACAACCCAGGCTTACGTGGTGGAAGTTCAGCTGTGGCGTGCAACATGATAATACCGCCAGGAACTCACTGCCTTGCTTTGAAGTTCGTAAGCCGCGGCAAGAAGGCAGCACCAGCACACTTACACACAGGGCCCAGGGGCTTTGCAGAGAACAGGTGGCAGACTGACAGGGCCACAAGGTGTCCTGAAGAGGCTATGATGGCCCAGCGACCCACACACCCCCTGCTCACAAGACAGGATGCCATATGGCCTACTGAATCCTGACACTCTGGCTAATAAAACCTTCAAGCCTCAGTGCTCAAGCTTCCCAAGTTTCTGCTGATCTCTGTCATGTTTCTCTCAGCCACTCTTTCCAAACATTTCCTTTTGTTTCCCAGAGAAGACTCCCATTGTATTTCCTGCGTATGTCATAACTATCTGGGATGTAAAAGACACCAAGTGTTTCATGCCATGATTCAGAGTGTAGGTTATGGTTTTGGCAAGAGTCAACAGCAACCTCCTTGCTTCATGATTCCATCAAAGCTTAGAACCTAGATTCTCTGAATGTGTCTCAGCTTCCCTTGCAATCTTCATTATCACAGAAACCCCTTAAAATGCTCTGAAGAATGCTTCAAACACCACCAGAAATAACTGCCAGCACTACATCCTCTCCCTCAAAAATAACCTAATGTGTGCCTTTCAAAATAAATTGACGACAAGGACTCCAATTAGTAAAGGGTTCCTCTCCATGCTCATCTCCTCAACAACGGAGCAGTAAGACAACCTTGTGGAAAAGACATTAAGCCACCAGCATTTCCACCTCTTATGGGCCACTGGATATAGGTAACCTTCTCTAGACTTCTCTGTTCATGGGATCCCACCTTTGCTTCTTCACTGCTTTGCTTCCATTGCAGCCCAGTGCAATGCTGGATGAACTACTCTTGCACTCTGCCATCTTTTGTCACACCTCCTCAAGATTCTCAGTCTTTGAGTTATTTTCCTCTCACCAGCACTTGGAGAACTGCACTGTTGCTGGTGGTACTCAGGCCTTGGAACCGAAGTTGTGGAAGTCTGAATCTGGCTCTGAGGTTCACTCCCTTGGGAGAGTTTCTCCCCTCTTCTGAACCTGCCTTTCCCCTTCTGCCCTCCTTATGGAGCAGGGATCACCTCCTCTTAATGCTTTATACCATAACAGTTCTCTAAGGTCATTTGATGTCTGAAAATACTATTAAAAAACTAAAATACATACACTTAATAAATATCCCAGTTTTTCAGCATTCCTCAGTTTCCCCTCCTATAAAGCCTGATTTTTTTTCTCTTCCTTTCCTTCTAAGACTCTCTCAGGTGTTCCTTTTACTCTTAATTCTGTGAAAGAATCTCAGATACTTCCTCCTTTCTCTCTCCATCCTCAAACAAGATGAGCACTGGGTAACCTCTGCAGTGGTTACATTCAGGCCATGTGTATTCTTTTAACCTCCCCTAGGACAGTAATGGGGTCGTGGTTCTCTGCTACTGTGCTTTCATCTGCAATTGTTCAGCTATGGATCCGTGCATGCTGCTGGCCTTCCAGCACTGTCCCCTGCTGGGCACAGGATGCCACAAAAAGCACAGTTTAAAAGAAGAACATGACAAGGCACAAGGAATCTCTGAAATACTCACCAGCTGTCTCCTCTCCGATCCCAGCAGCTCACCACATGGGTTATCAGCAGGTTGGACTCAACTCCCACCCCAAGGGGAGTATCTGTTCCTTCCACGGCATGGATACTGACTCCATCACCCACCCACATATTACAGCTCCCTGGACTTCTCCCTCGTGTGAAGCAGCTGCAGTCTCTGTTACCACCTTCCAGTAAAGTTAGGGCACGCTCACAGCTGAAAAGCACAAAGGACTGTGCTGAGGTGTCCTTTGGAATATTGCTGGCAGTTACTGCAGGCCAGGCCTGGAAACAAACGTCGACTGCAGCAGGTACAAAGACGAAAAGCATTCAGGAGCTTCATTAAAGTCACTGTAGTGCTTAGTAAACAGTCTGATTAATTACTCATCAGCACTACTGAGAGATCATGACCTTCAATATCTCTGTTTTGAGGTAAACAATGTTAATTTGTCAATTTGCCTCGAGTCTTTCTCACACCACCAATTCCTCACTTGAGAAAAATTTGATAAGGTCACTCAAAATGTTCCCGAAGAAAGTAAGCCAACATGGGATAAAGGGGATACCTCTCATGGATCTGATAACTAGTTAAAGCATGTGAAACAAGAGCTAGAATGAAAGGACAGTTTCCACTAGGGTCCCATAAGAATCTGTGCTATGGTCTCTCCTGTTCAAAACACTTACCAATGGTTTCAGAACAGGGAAATAAATAAATAAATGGAAGTCTGCTGCTGGAAAAGTGAAAGTCACTGAGAACTGTGAAAAAACATCGCCTTACTAAATGATCAGACATCAAATCACTAGATGACATTCCACTTCACTACAGAGTTGTGCACCCAGAGAAAGGCAATCCTAGCTTTACACAGTAAGGGAATTTGAACCAGTCACTTCATGAAAAGACATTATAACTATTGTAGCTTTTTCTTTGAAAACATCAGTAAAATACACTCAAAAAGGAAATGCAATTTGGGCTTATGTTGTAGCAATCTCTTGATACTGAGGATAATTCTTCCCCATGTTTCTCCTCCCATCTCAGAAAACATACAGTAGGACTGGAAAAACTACAGAGAAATGATGATGTAAAGATGATCAAAGGTATGGAACAACTTATGCATTGAGGAATGACTAAATAAATAAGGACTCTTCAGCATGGAAAAAAAGACAACTGAAAGGAAGTATGAAAAATATCTTTAAAATCATGAGCTTCAGGGAGGAGAATGGGAAACAATTACTCCTTACACTACAAAACATAGGGAAAAACAAATGAAGCCATCAGGTGGGCAGGTTAAAACAAATGAAAGGAGCTACTTTTTCTCAGCACATAATAAAACTGTGGTTGCCTTCTTACTACAGTAAGATAAGGATGCCAAAAATGTACAGGGGTTCAAAAATGAATAGACAAACTAATGGAAGCAAGAGCCACTAATGCTATTTCTACACAAAGATACCAACTCCTAGCCAGAAAACCACTCAGTCCCACAGAGTACTGGGGAATTACCATCATGATTGTCATCTACTGCTCTTCCCTCGGGATCTGCCATAGGGCACTGTCTGAACAGGGTACTGAACCACAGTACTCCTGCTCTGAGGCAATGCAACCAGTTTTGTTTATGTTTCAGAGGTCTGAAACTAAACCTGTCTCAGGTCTCAATCAGATGTTAGAGAATTCAGTCAAGTTGCACGATTCATTCTAGAAATCAATATCTGTTCCAACGTCTCTCATATCTACCTCCAACTCAGAACCTGCAATGCATAAATTCAATCCTTTGATCCAAAAGAATGCTTGGGAAGCTAAAGATTGAGGCAAGATGAAATGAAGGAGAAAAAATTGATGTAAATGAAAACTACACTGAAGGTGGACCTGCTGATAGCCAAACTGGCTTTGTGCCGCAGATGTGGTATACGGTGACTGCAGTCTGTAGTACTGAGGGCCGCTGACAGAATGGCAAAACTTCAGTATCATTTCCTTGATCCTTATTTCTTTTGTTTTGATATACCAAGCTAGGGATTAACTGTTATAGGAATACAAACAATGCAGACTGATGGTCCAGTTTTTAAAAATGCACTGAGATTGCTGCCTGGATCTAACATTTGTTCACTTACATGGATTCTGAAATGCTTTCGTTTAGTTTCTAACCAGTTTTAATACATTTTTTTTCTAACTAATACAAGATTTATAGACTACAATATTTTTTTAGGATAGCATATTGCCCAGGTAAGCTTTGTTTAAACTACCTAAGTACACTCTTGAAACTATGCCTCCAAATCTTTAGGAAGTATTAAATTTAAAAAAAATAATAATAACACAAAACAAATCCCCCAAAACCACCTAACCTTTTTGTGCAGTGTAGACAGGCTCATATGCAACTGCCTGCAGTTCCAATACTTCTATTCCACACAATGCAGCACAAAAGCACCTACTTTTTCCTACATATGATACTGAAAACAGTTGCTTGCCTGAACAGATTTCATTCTCATGGCCTGCAAAATCCTTCTTTATTGAACATAATTGTTAGATACCAGGGGTTTTCCTTCTTTATAGATGGAATTCAATATAAATTCATTGTACTAAACTTCAAACATCTTTAACGTAAGCATTAAATACCTGACAACAGAAAGCTTGCATATTTGCAAGTCTTCAGATCCCTTTCATATATATGTAGTTCATCAGCAGTTTTGGAAAGTCCCCATATAGGATATTACATCTGAGGACAAGCTTCCCTTGGTACAGAAGAACTGGGCTTATGGTCTGAGACTCAATGTTCTGCTGCCAGTGTTGTGCTCAGTCTATTTGCCATGCTCACAGGAATGCCTCCATGGTGTGGATCCTCAGGCTCTGCCTGTCAGGTGATTTATCAAAGCATGATAGCACCTTTGTGCCCTTCCTGAAGTCAGCCTTTCTGCTGAGGGAAATCTGCAACAGACTCAGCACAGTAATGAAGGCTGGAAAAAGGCTGTAGAGGACCTCACAGCTTAATAGATCCTAAAGAATTTACATGGCAAAGAGACTCTAAAAATGCCCCAGCTGATGGAAAAGCTTTTTCACAACTCACACCTTTTTAGACAAAGTCAAAAATAACCAGAAGAAAACTCACACCCCCAGTGGAAACGAGGCTTCACTAGAGTTGGTACGCATAGGCCTTCTTGCTTTCAGTTAGGGATTATTGCTTGAACATTAATGATTCCCTGAATACGGATTTGCTCACATGTACAGACGACAGATATAGGCATAGATGCACACACATGCAAATGGGAAACAGAAATTCCTGCCTCTGCCACCAGAAGAGATTGGGTTTCATTCTGTCAGCCAGGCTGGTTGTGAGCAATCTTCTCACAGCTTGCTCAGGATTATTTATGGGTTGCTTAGTTTAGAGACCTGGCCAGGATTCAGACCTTCACTATGTACAGGAAATCTCAGCCTCGGCATTATGGCCCATCCTTTGTAAGCAAGATTTTGTCCTTCCAGCAGCTCTTAGGGCTACTCAGTATTTTTGGCAAGAAAGCCACTGTGTTCCTTTCTTTGAACTGCAGTTTTCATAAAGCCTGGGCCAGAATTCTCTCTTCCTCTTCACTGACAGCACAAGACCTTTCTGCTGCAAACTTTCTGCCTCACAAAAGGCACAGGTTTGCTTTCCAGAGCAATTTCAACAGAACTCCATGCTAGTATGAGCACAGCTCAGCCTAAAAGTGCTAGAACACCACGGACCAACCTTCAGGTTCACTGCTTCCAAATTCCCTTTCCTGTTTTGTTTCTCTACAAGGACTCTTTCCCGATTCATTACCCCCCTTCAATGTAAGCTACCCTTTCACAAACAACTACCTACACTTCAAATACTAAATGCTAATGCATTTCTTCTCTAAGGAAGAGATGAGGTGATCAGCTCTTACAAAAAAAGGAGGATGCTGGCTTCTGTCCCCACTTCAAATGGATTTAAAGGGAATACCAAGGATTGAAGCTGTAGTCAAGACCTCAGAATGCCATTTTCTGAGAATCCTGTAGTTACTATCTGACATACAGCAAGACCCTACTGAAAGAATGACTTCATTTACTTTAATTTCTGTTTCAGCTGAAGCCTTCTTCCCATGGCACAGCTGGGCACTTGTTTGATAGTGACTCCTGTGTGGCAGGCAACAATACCAATTCATACAGTGTGCTGGTGTTCCCCATATATCACTTATTAAGCAGGAACTTTTGAAACATTTGAAAAGTGCCTACATCCTACTGAAAGGCAATGCAAACTATGCTCAAATTACTTGTGAAAATGGCGCTTCAGCAGTTCTGAAAAAAATCCTTTATGTTTAACCCTGCTTAGTTTGTAAGAATTGATAGGATCGCAGCAGGAATCAGTAGAGCGGGAGGTCTGGCAAACAGAGAAAAAAATGATCCTCCTTTTAGACGAGGAAACAAGCTGACAATGATCTTTTACATCCTTTCCTCTAAAGGCTGGAGCTAAGGAATAGCAAGGGCCCTTGCTGGCAATAAGTGAACTCAGTGCATTTATAAATCAGAGCTCCCACCTTGCCAAGGAATGCAAGACAATCTCAGGCAGTAGTTTCTTGCCCACAGGGCATTCAGGTGGTATGACACGTCCAGGAAGCTTCCAGTACAAAGCTCTGGTGGGCACCAGCTGCTAGAAAGTAGTTGGAATAATAACTAATGACTCTGTCTAGCGTGGCAGCTCCCAGCATCCTGCTGACTTATGTTCAGGCACTCAGAAAAACACAGAACATTTTCTTTGGCACACTACAAGCTTCTTCCATCCCTAACAATAGGCCCTAGATTGGGGCTGGCTATGGAGCAATGATAAACATAGTGGGACAAAGCCCAGGACGCTGGGGGCCTGGCTGGGGTGCAGGACTGTCGGGCCTCTCGCAGCGCCGCTTGCCTCAAGGCCTTTCTTTGTCTCTTCTCCCTCTTTCCCTCCCCTCAGCTTCAAAAGCAATAAATTACAAATTTAAAAACAGAGCAACAAGCCTTTCAGAGTGGCTTGCTCCTGTCCTTTGCTGTTATCAGGAGTGTCTATGAAAGTATCTTTGGTATGGTTTGGTCAGCAAGAGCCTGCGTTTCAGCATGGTCTGTAGGTGTGACGGCTGGAACGTGCCAGCCCTAAAACACAGAGGGTAAAGAAAGTTAACTTTCCAAAAATCTATGGGGGAACAAAGCATTTTTGATATTCCTAAATGAGCTCTGCCTGGGGCTTTGGAGGTCTCCTGAAGGCC